AAGGATAGGCGGTGTGGGAGAGTGCAGCTGTGGGGCAGACAGTGCAAGTGGTTGGATGGGGGGTGGTGTGCTGTAGCTCCGTTCCGTCGGGGCGCAGCAGTGCTCCTGGCGGAAAAAACTTTGCGCGGAGGCAGTTGGCGAGTGTCTGGCGCGAGGGATGTCCCATCCGCTGGTGCCAGAGGTCATCTTCGACGCGAATGCCGGAGGTACGCTTGTAGCGAATGTGGTGCTCTTCTGCCTCCTCCGCCGTGAGTTCCGGGATCTGGAGTGGAGGTTCTTCTTCTCCTCCTGGTTCTGCTTCGTTGTCCGGCTCCTCTGCTTCTGCTTCTCCTGCTTCCTCCGTTGTCTCCCCTTCTGCAGGTGCCGTTGTGAGGTAGAGCGCGAGGAATTCGCGGTCGGGGATGATGGTGAGCGGGGTCGTGGTGCCTTTGATGAAGCGGGCAAACGGATCTGGGCGGGAGATTGGACCAAGAGAGTCCCGAGGAGGAGTTGGTGGTACGTTCCCCTCCTCAATCTCCGACCAGCGATCGCGCCAGCGATAAGGTGAGCGAGGTGGTTCACCAGTGCGGGGGGGTCGCCCGAGGGGAATGGCGACTCGAGGTGGTGCTTCGCCGCGCTCTGCTTGCATTTCTCGTTCAGCTTCCTCCAATTCCTCTTGCGTGAGCTCCCCTTCGTCGTGTTCGACATTTCCCCAGCCTCCCGTGGGGACCGTGCCGCTAGCGGGTTCCCCATGCTCCAGTTGCGGAGCCCCAGGTTGCGCCGCCTTCTGGATCGGCGTACTCGTTGCCCCATCCTCCGCGCGCAGACTTTGGGTCCCATCCTGCCGCGATGCGCTCCTCATACAGCTTCTGCCGCTTCTCCGCTTGGGCCTTGTCCTGTTCTTCTTTGACGCTCAGCTCCTCTGGTGCGTCGGGATCTTTCCAAGCAGGGTCGATCTCGCGGCGGTAAACTTCGCGGGTGTATGGGCGCTCACGTCCCTCCTCGTCTTTGGTGGTGGTGTTCGCCTCCAGGACAAACTGAAGATTGTCCGAATAGGGCGTTGCCCTTTCCGTTCGCTCGAGCTCGTATTCCTTGTCGGCTTCACCGAAGACGCGGTAAGATGCAACGGCAAGTTCTTCTCTGGTCATGCCGGTAGGTTCCGCCTCGGCGCTTTCTGCTTCTTGAATTGCCGCTTGCTCCCTTTCGACTTGCTCCGTGCGACTCGCGGTGGGTGTGTGGCAGGTGGTGCACAGCCCGTTGGTGTCAGGTTCGTGAAAGTTGATCTCGCGTGGGTGAGGGCTGCGGCGAATCCACGGTCTTCCGTCCGGATGCTCCCATGACTCCTGGTTCATGAAGGCAAACTCGAGGGGAACAAGATCCACGAGCTCGTCCGATGAAGCTTGACAGGGAGGTATGTCAAAGTCCAGGATGTAGATCCCGTTGATGGAGCGGGCTCGTCCGAGGTATTTAAACGTCTTAGGAGGAGTGTCCGGGGGAGCGTAGGTAAGAATGAGGTCGCGCGTCGCGAGATCCGTGTGAATGATGACGCCACAGTCGCGGAGTTGTCCAGCCGAGAGCAGATTGAAGCGTAGGTTCGGGACGTAGAGCACGTCGTTGAACGAGATGTGGGTGTTGCTATCTCGTGCTTGCAGGACGACAAGGCCTTGTGAGTTGGCGCGCAACTGCTCGTTGTTGGCGACGGTGACGTAGGTTGCGGGAGCGCGACTCAGGTTGGAGACGTAGCGCGTGGACCCCACCATGTGCTGTCCGCAGCAGCTGTCCAGGTACCAGGTGTTGTGGTTGTCGGTGTTGTTTCGGCGCAGCAGTAGCGCCAATCGCGGAGTCACCAAGGTAGCCTTGTAGCGCCTGTGATAGGAGGGGTCTTCGTCCTCCTTCCAGCCCACTGGTACGTAGCGCTGATTGTCATGTGGCGGGCTTTCCCGCAGTGTGATTGGTTGATTCCAATCCTGCTCATCTTCGTCGTACAGGTAGTAGTGGTCCTCGGTGAGGGGATTATTCCATCCCTCTTCCGGTTGTAGAAGTCTTCCTTGGACTTCGTTCTCCTCGTCAGGTTCAGCAGTGCGGCGGCGGCGCGTCGCCATGTTCGCAATGATGTTCCTCGGAGCTCCTGACTGAGATCCTTGATTTTGTTGGTGTTGATGCTGTGCAGGAGGACGAGTTTGTTGATGCTGAGGTTGAGAATGACGAGCGTCTTGTCGGCCGACCCAGTTGTTATGGTGAGTGGAATTTGGGTGGCGGAAGTTGGATCGGGACTTGCATCGATCCATTGAGTGTCCGAAGACTTTGCATATTTTGCAATAATGGCGCCTTGGTTGTCGTCGCTCTTCTCGGTTGTCCGCGTAGAAGGCGAGGCGCTCTCGGCGCGGCGCGGAGCTTGTTCTGCTCGAGTCCATGTCCTGTTGTTCGGACAGGAGTGCGGCGCATAGCGCGGCTTCTGAAATGATTCCTCGCTGTCGGAGTAACGCTTTGCAGGGCTTCCACTCTGGCCCGAGTCCTTGAAGGACTAAATTGACAAAGATCTCTTCTGAGATCGTACTCCCATGCTTCGTGATCTGGTCACGAATGTTGCGACAGCGGTTAATGTACGGATTTTCCTTCTCCCCGTGCCCCATTTTTATCTCCAGGAGTTGCTGCAGAAGCCTGCTGGCGGTGACCGAATCCTTCGGCTGATAAACCTCGATGAGGTGCTTCCAAGCTTCCAAAGCTGGAGCGTCGCTTTCCTTGTAGGAGCGAATGTTGAGTTGTTCCGCAGGCGTCATGTTTCGTAGCAGCACACTGTAGGTCATGAGGGACTCGCTGTAGTATTGAGCCCTGGCGACGTCGGTGTTTTCCACCGGTTTAGGATAGGAGCCGTCGAAGTAATGGTAGATCTGCACTGTTTGTAGGAGGAGCTCAAGCTCGAAACTCCATGTGTAAAAGTCCTTGCCGTCAAACGCGGCAGTAGTCTTGATTTTTGAAACGATAAGGAAGCGTGTTTGCGCAGAGTTGATAGCTTCATCACTTGGACGGGGGGGAGTTGTTGTTGATTTGTCTGTGTCGAGGGAGAAGGTGTGCGCGGCGGTATCACGGCTTTTCTCAGCCGGTTGTCCAGGTTTGTGCTGGTTGGGAGGAAGTTCCCGCATCGCCTTTGCGCAGTTCTTGGAGTTCTTTCTCCATAGTTGAGAGTCGAGCGAAGAGTTGCTCGAGAGCGGCTGTGCCGATCGTAGTTGTCGCCGCATTTGTCGCAGCCGGGTTGGATTGTCCTTCAGCCGTTAGATTTGTTTGGCCTCCGGATCCTCCGGCCATCTTGGTCTTGGAGCGTGTGCCGCTCGCCAGATCTTGGTTCGGCGAATTTCACGGAAGTGAAGTTACGAAGAATCCCTGAGTAGCTCTCATACCATGTTACAATCCCAAGTGGGACTTAGCGAAGGATCGCTCAGGGTTGATCGCAGAGTAGTGTTGCAGCGGAAGATTTGAATCTCAGGTCAGAGTGAATGTAAATGACTCAGTTGATAATAGCATGCATACATCGAGTTTATATAAGAGTACAGGGGAATACGAAAAGACCTAGACTAGCCATGTACTCTAAGGGGTACATTCCCTTATTACAGCAAATTCAAACCGTGCGGCGCGGGAACCCGTTTTGAACCTGTTCCCGCTCTTTTCATTTCAAATGTTTCTGCCTGCATCGGTCTTGGTCTGACGGTTGCTGTGTCGCTTCGACTCTTTCTGACTCCTCGACTTCGTACTCGGTAGAGTCGGCTCTTGCAGCATACAGGAATGCCTTACTCATAAAACTTCATATCGTATCACCAAAATTTGGTCACCAATAAGTGTTGGAACATCGGCCCTTGTGTAACAATAAAACGAAACTCGCCGCGAGTGATCGAAAGCATGACACATGGCAATATTATCAAAGCACGGTGTTGGAATAACCGAAAGGTTATGATAAGCATTCCCGAAGTTTTCCACTCTCGCATCACTTCATAACGAAGTATGCGACTGTACTAGTACCGCAATAGCTCATATAGAGCACGCGGAAGTCCAAGGGTCACCCGAAGGTCAACGGTCGAAGTCAGTCAACAGTCGTGACCCTTGACTACCCGGTAACCGCACGAGGCAGTTGCGAAGTGCAACATGGTAACTGTCTAGAATGGCAATAGCCGTGGGTTACTGTAGCAATGCAATTCAGTTAATAAGGGAATGTACCCCTCAGAGTACATGGCTAGCTAGGAATGCTATTTATACCCTTGTACTCCTATCTTATAATCATCTTGTTCTCTTTCAATTTATTAACAAGGTCGTTACTGAGAGTTCTCAGTTTCTTCTTACACTTGGCAAACTTTATCCTATCCACTACGATTCTTCAGTTATATCAGCACACGGTTCTACCGAACCGCGCAAAACTCTCGATTCACACGCTAAATCACGAGTTCATGATTCACACGTTGATAAGAGGTAAGTTCGAAAGCTACCATGCGATTCAAAAATGTAAATTTATACAGTTTACAAAGATCACACCCCCCTGGCGTACGCGCTAAAGCGTGCCTAGCTACCGACTTTTCTTGCCCTAGCGCCACCTTCATAACCTAGCAAACGCTCCTTATCACCATCTCCACTTTCAACACTTCCCTTGCCGCCATGGCTGCAGCTCTCGTCATCGGCGCCGCCTCTTCTCTGTTTCCCTACTCCATCAGCGCCAGAGGTCAGCCACCTCGCGCCACCGCTCGCCTTCCCCCGCGCTCCGAGCGCTCCTTCATTTTCGTCGCCATTCCATCCGCTTCGAGCACCTGTCCGCTTCGAGCACCTGTCCGCTTCAAGCACCTGTCCGCCGTCCGTCGCTTCCGACGTTGCCTCGCGTCGCACCTCGCTCGACAACGCGGCGCGCGCCTCCTATCCTGCGCGCGTTCGCTCCGAGCCTTCCGCCGTAAATGGCCTTTCATCTTGCCAATCCTTCGTTCTCCCTCCATCTTAGGTTGCTATTTCCCCTCTACCCCGTCTCCCCCCTCCGCCTCCAGCAGGCGTCGCTTCTCCCGCCTCCGCGCCTCTACGCTCCGCATTCCTTCCGCGCCCGCCTCTTTTTTCCCAACGCGCGCCTCCGCTTCTCCCCCGCCGGGCGCACATCGGCGAGCAGGGAAGAGTGGGGCTGGGGGCGGCGGGGAAGAGGGTGAATGGCGTGCGGGCAGAGGCGCAACCAGAGAAGCCAGAGGGGAGGGTGAGATGCGGGGGAGGAGGGAGGGGGGGATAGGTTTCTACAGTTGGGGATGGTTGAGGTGAAATTCTGATAGTGTTGGTCATCTGAGGCAAGTGTCTTGATAGGTTCTTGAAGGCAAGGCTAGAAGCTAACTCCCAGACGGGGTCAACTCGTGTGGACAACCAATGTGCGTCAGTGTGCCCACAGAGGCAGTCAGTGTGCCCACAGAGGCAGTCAGTGTGCCCACAGAGGCAGTCAGTGTGCCCACAGAGGCAGTCAGTGTGCCCACAGAGGCAGTCAGTGTGCCCACAGAGGCAGTCAGTGTGCCCACAGAGGCAGTCAGTGTGCCCACAGAGGCAGTCAGTGTGCCCACAGAGGCAGTCAGTGTGCCCACATCATGAGAAGGGTCTGAGGAAGGGAGGGAGGGCGATATGGAAAGGAGGAAGGAAGGAGAGAGGGTTCGAATCCAGTTTGCTTCCATCGCTTTATCCCTCCGCTCCCTTCAATGCGCCGTCATCAGTGCACCATTATCAAATCTCATTTGTGGTGCGCATGATCAGTCGTGAACCACCATCACGGGGCACCATCATGGGGCACCATCATGGGGCACCATCATGGGGCACCATCATGGGGCACCATCATGGGGCAGTGGGGCACCATCCGCACATCCTCCACTCCCCTGCATGCCACCCGCCCTCCCTCTCCCGTATGTGCATCCCCCAGCCGCCCTTCGGCTACACGCGGCTGGACGTGATTCTCATCGGCGTCGGCATCACCGTCGCTGGTGTCGCCCTCAAGTACGGCCTCGAGGTGAGAATCAAGTACGGCCTCGAGGTGAGAATCAAGTACGGCCTCGAGGTAAGAATCAAGTACGGCCTCGAGGTGAGAATCAAGTACGGCCTCGAGGTGAGAATCAAGTGCGGCCTCGAGGTGAGAATCAAGTGCGGCCTCGAGGTGAGAATCAAGTGCGGCCTCGAGGTGAGAATCAAGTGCGGCCTCGAGGTGAGAATCAAGTACGGCCTCGAGGTGAGAATCAAGTGCGGCCTCGAGGTGAGAATCAAGTGCGGCCTCGAGGTGAGAATCAAGTGCGGCCTCGAGGTGAGAATCAAGTACGGCCTCGAGGTGAGAATCAAGTACGGCCTCGAGGTGAGAATCAAGTACGGCCTCGAGGTGAGAATCAAGTGCGGCCTCGAGGTGAGAATCAAGTGCGGCCTCGAGGTGAGAATCAAGTACGGCCTCGAGGTGAGAATCAAGTACGGCCTCGAGGTGAGAATCAAGTACGGCCTCGAGGTGAGAATCAAGTGCGGCCTCGAGGTGAGAATCAAGTGCGGCCTCGAGGTGAGAATCAAGTGCGGCCTCGAGGTGAGAATCAAGTGCGGCCTCGAGGTGAGAATCAAGTGCGGCCTCGAGGTGAGAATCAAGTACGGCCTCGAGGTGAGAATCAAGTGCGGCCTCGAGGTGAGAATCAAGTACGGCCTCGAGGTGAGAATCAAGTGCGGCCTCGAGGTGAGAATCAAGTGCGGCCTCGAGGTGAGAATCAAGTGCGGCCTCGAGGTGAGAATCAAGTGCGGCCTCGAGGTGAGAATCAAGTGCGGCCTCGAGGTGAGAATCAAGTGCGGCCTCGAGGTGAGAATCAAGTGCGGCCTCGAGGTGAGAATCAAGTGCGGCCTCGAGGTGAGAATCAAGTGCGGCCTCGAGGTGAGAATCAAGTGCGGCCTCGAGGTGAGAATCAAGTGCGGCCTCGAGGTGAGAATCAAGTGCGGCCTCGAGGTGAGAATCAAGTGCGGCCTCGAGGTGAGAATCAAGTGCGGCCTCGAGGTGAGAATCAAGTGCCTCGAGGTAGGCCTCGAGGTGAGAATCAAGTGCGGCCTCGAGGTGAGAATCAAGTGCGGCCTCGAGGTGAGAATCAAGTGCGGCCTCGAGGTGAGAATCAAGTGCGGCCTCGAGGTGAGAATCAAGTGCGGCCTCGAGGTGAGAATCAAGTGCGGCCTCGAGGTGAAAATCAAGTGCGGCCTCGAGGTGAGAATCAAGTGCGGCCTCGAGGTGAGAATCAAGTGCGGCCTCGAGGTGAGAATCAAGTACGGCCTCGAGGTGAGAATCAAGTACGGCCTCGAGGTGAGAATCAAGTGCGGCCTCGAGGTGAGAATCAAGTGCGGCCTCGAGGTGAGAATCAAGTGCGGCCTCGAGGTGAGAATCAAGTGCGGCCTCGAGGTGAGAATCAAGTGCGGCCTCGAGGTGAGAATCAAGTGCGGCCTCGAGGTGAGAATCAAGTGCGGCCTCGAGGTGAGAATCAAGTGCGGCCTCGAGGTGAGAATCAATTGCGGCCTCGAGGTGAGAATCAAGTACGGCCTCGAGGTGAGAATCAAGTGCGGCCTCGAGATGAGAATTAAGTGCGGCCTCGAGGTGAGAATCAAGTGCTGCCTCGAGGTGAGAATCAAGTACGGCCTCGAGGTGAGAATCAAGTGCGGCCTCGAGGTGAGAATCAAGTACGGCCTCGAGGTGAGAATCAAGTGCGGCCTCGAGGTGAGAATCAAGTACGGCCTCAAGGTGAGGCGCTGGGGCCAGGGGTGAGGACGACTGGAGGTGAGGACGGCTGGAGGTGAGGACGGCTGGAGGTGAGGACGGCTGGAGGTGAGGACGGCTGGAGATGACACAGATAGGACGGCTGGAGGTGACACAGGTAGAACGGCAGGGTGAGTTCGGTACACTGCCAAGTTCCTTCGGACTTTGGTGTCTACTTTTTTTCTTTCTTTTCTCTTTCATTTCTCACATTCGTTTGTTCCGCCCTGGGGACGTGATGTTGGGAGTCGCGGTACCTGAGCAATCCTCATCTCCCCTCCCCCATCCTCCCCTCGTGGTCAGTTGGCGGGGTTTGACTCGTTCCAGTCGGGCAGCGTGGTGCAGCTGGTGCTGGTGTTGGGGCTGTGCTTGGTGTGGGCGGCCAGCTATGTGTGGCGAGTGGGCAACAAGGAGATGACGTATGTGAAGCAGCTCAAGGACTATGAGGACGCTGTCATGAAGGTCCGTCATTCCACCGCTCCTCTGCATGCCGCTGCACACTCATCCCATCACCCATTCCCTATTTCCCATCACCCATCCCATCACCCATTCCCATCACCATCACCCATCCCATCACCCATTCCCATCACCCATTCTCATCACCCATTCCCATCACCCATCCCATCACCCATTCCCATCACCCATTCTCATCACCCATTCCCATCACCCATCCCATCACCCATTCCCATCACCCATCCCATCACCCATTCCCATCACCCATTTCCATCACCCATTCCCATCACCCATCCCATCACCCATTCTCATCACCCATACCCAACCTCATTGATTCACCCTTATCAATGACCGATTCGGTCATCCATTTCTGTTACCCATCCTGTCACTCATTCCAATCTCCCATCTGTTTCCCCCTTACCAACCACCCACCACGATGGCGGTGGGTGGGGGCGAGCAGAAGCGGCTGGAGGCGATGCCGGAGGCGGAGCTGGAGGCCATGCTGGCGCAGGTGGAGGAGGAGAAGGAGCGCCTGCGCCGCGCCAGGGGCAAGGCCGAGGGGGACGGCAAGCAGTGACACTCCACCATTGCCTGCTGCTCATGGAAGGCCTTTGCGCTAACCGCATGCATGCGGGACGCTAGGTAGATCCGTGGACTTACAGCTGTTCACTGCCACTAGTTACTAGTAGCGATAAACATTTTGTATCCTAACAGATGTGATCACTAGAGGATGTACCGGAACGCTTGGTATTGCTCGAAATATATGTGCAATGGAGTGAACAAGCGAGGATTGCACCATCGTGGATAACGATGCAATGTGAGGCAAGCTATGCGCACCTCTGCAGTATTTCTTCGCATGTCAGTGCCCTCCATTGATAGAGGGCACTGACATGCGAAGAAATACTGCAGAGGTGTTAGCTATGAAAGAAAGGTTGGAAAATCAGTGTCACAAAAATCTAAACAATGGAAAATCAGTGTAGGTGCATGAAACTAGGCTGAAAATAAGGGATTTCAGGGAAAAAATCATGATATCGTAGCGCCTGACCCGGGGGTACCCTCCAAAAATAGGGTGGGGGGTTTTACCGTACCATAAAGGTCATGTACCGTATGGCCCCGGATATAGGCGCCGGCACTTATTTCGGGAGCATGGCTCTTATTGTCAAATGTTAGACTGCTGCGGCCACTGCTGCGGAGAGCGACACGCAGGCAGGCCCATAGATTTGTTTTGAGGCACGCTGATCGATCAGCGTGCACCCCTGTTAGAACTCTGTGAGTCAGCGTGGCTTAAAAAAATTAGGCCGAAAAAGCTGACGACTCAAAGTTTTTTAGGCTGAATTTTCAGCGTTAGCTGTAAAACTTAAACTGATCATGCATTTTGATAAAAAACACAATAAAGCATGTCACATATCTGAGTCAGAGTATGAACCTCTACTGGAGCACGCTCAACCTCTAAAGCCGCCTTCCGAGCCCTTGAAGGCTCCCTGTCTCTTGCTGCAGACCGGTCGTGTTTGCAGGGAAGCAAGGTCGTCTCTAGTGTCTGAGGGACGTCTGATGCATCAGACGGGTCCTCCTGGCAAAAAAAAAGTTTTGTTTGATGCTGACTGTCCCATCAGATTAATCCTAAAAAACATGTCAAGATATCAGCCAAACAGACAAAAAATGTCTGCTAGACCTGCAGGGAAGGTGGGGTGGGGTGGATATTTGTGGTGCCGTAAGAGGCGTAGCGCGCTGAGACTGAGAGCCATGCGTTGGCAACGATTTTTGCCAACGCTGCCTGCTGCGCAACCCTGATTTGCCGCTTTGCTGTACCAACGCGACAGTCCGGGGCCTCGCACGGGAAAACTTGATTTCCCGCCCGTGAGTGACAGTGTTACCGGTAATCCTACAGGCTGGCGTAAATCCCTGTATTGCCGGATTCAGTGTGCACCCCCGATCCAAGGCTGACGGCTCAGCCTACACTCATATAATTAGGCTGAAATTTCATCCAAGCCATAAAAAAAAGAACTCTGGAAAATCAGACAAGGTACAAAATAATAAAGTTTGAGTTCAGCCTAGGTACAAAGAAAAAGCCAGAATGAACTCTGAATCAGAGTAAAAAGTATGATATCTAGGGCCCTGGCGACACGGATGCTGGGGTCCCCACCGCTGAAACTGCAGCTATCCCTGCCGCTAAGTCCCGAGTGGTCGCCAAGGTAAAGGGCTAGCTTGGCAATAGGCGCGAGCAACTGCTGGAGCTGGAGGTGCTGGCACTGGTGGTGCTAGTTCTGGGGGTGCTGGAGCTGGAGATGCTGAAGCTGGAATTTCTGGCACTGGAGGTGCTAGTTCTGAGGCGACTGGAGCTGGAGGCACTATTACTGTGGCGCCCACTTCTCCTCCCCACCGCTACGACACGTATCTCCAAGCTATTTGCCGGCTTGAGCGCGAGGGGCAGGAACGGTTGGAGCAGGAGAGGCAGGAGCTGCGGCAGCTAGACCAGCAGGAGCAGCAGCAGGTGCAGCAGGAGGAGTAGCAGCAGCAGCAGGAGCCGCCCCTTCTACAGCAGTTCCACCAGTGAGTGGCCTTCGGGCCCTTGGTCTTCCCTTCTCTCCTCCTGTCCGCTCACAGTTTCCTACCGCATACGGTCCTACGTTTCCTCCTCCGGACTCGGCTCTGGGTGTTTTCTCTCCTCCTCAGTCATAGTCGCCTCCTCTTGTTCTTCCGCACGACTGGACCACTCGTTGTCCTCCGCGTGCTCGTCCCTCGTCTCCTTATGACGACCTCCGCACTCTCTTGTTTTGTTCCTCGTCGTGCACCGCATGTGTCTGTTCTCCCGCCAACTCCTACATCGTATCTCACTGTCTCCTCTCACCCTATCACTGACTGCTATCGTGCTGCTCGTCCTGTTGTCTCGCGCGTTCTCGCCTCTCTTGTCACCGACCCTCGTGCCTCTCTGTCACCTGTCTCGGCTCTTACTGCCTATGCCGCTGACTTTGCTGCCACCCGCCGACTTGACTTCGCCACGCGTGTAGTGGCTACTCCGTCTGCCCGTCCTCTGTCCGCCGCGGGTTAGTTTGCTCTCGGCTATGACGTCCTAGAGGGCAGGCAGTTTGAGCTGGAGTTCTTGGCAGCCGCTTCTCCCTCTCTCTGTGCCATGCAGCTTTCCCCTGAGGGAGACCCCGACGCCCTTGACATTCCGACTCCTCGCACGTACGTGAGGCTATGTCATGGCAATGGTTGTTACTCTTCGGATGTTAATTCATGTTGCATAGCGAGACTACGAGCTGCACTCCCTCGACTTCTCCACTGCCTTTCTGTAGTGCAGCCTTCACGAGGAGATATGATTGCGTTGTCCTCCTGGCTTCACTGGCACTTTCGGGCCTGGGACCCAATGGAGCCTGAGATGACCAATCTACGGTCACCGCCAAGCGCCCCGTGAGTGGCACGACACGATTCGCACCACTCTTGCTGCCCTCGCGTTTCGTCCTTTGTCTGCCGACCCGTCGCTGTTCATTTGTTCTGGGCCCACACCTTTCTTCGTCCTCGTCTACGTCGACGACTTGGTCTTTGCTACAGCAGACATGACCGCACTGGTTGAGGTGAAGTCCGAACCTCAGAAGAGACACACGTGCACTGACCTTGGTGAGCTGCGCTGCTACCTTGGCTTGCGGATTACCAGGGACAGAGCCGCTCGCACCATTACACTCTCATAGTCACGCATGGTGCAGTAGGTCCGTCAGCGTTTCGGGCTTCAGCACTCCACCACACAGCCCACTCCTCTTGCCGTTGACCACGTCAGGCTGCAGCGCTGAAAACAAGGTGGCACTGCACGGCACTGCAACAGACAGTGCGGCTCTGTTGCAGGAATCCCTTGACGACGAGCACGATGTAGGACGTCGTCGAGTAGTGACGCCGACCATCCGCACGTCGACCAGAATCCACCGAGCACGGTTGCAGTAGTCCGTCGCCGACTCCTGCTCGCCCATCATAAGGTGAGTTAGCGGCCCTTTCTATTGACCTGGTAGGTCGACATAATGAACCGCCATGCTTGATGGTCGACATCAAGTCAAAGTCGACATGGCTTCATGATAATCTGCACCATCGACGAGCAACACGGAGAGTTAACCATGTAGGCCAATGTCGACCTCGTACAACGTCTCCACATCGCCGTCGGCGAAACACCTCAGCCCGGCGATTTAAAGCTGGGGCTCGATCGACTCCCCCCCACGTAATGAGGTCTCGTCAACCTTCTAGCAGCGCAGGCACGATGATCTTGTTCGGCAAGAACTTGAAGTACTCGTAAGCCGTCGCGATCGCGCCAGCCGACACGTGGGTCACCGACGTCGGCCCGACTCCACTTCGTTGGGGAGAGCGACGCCGTCTGCCGACGTCGCTATGCGAGTTGACTGCAGCCGATGTCGACTGCAGCCCTCGCGCCTGCATCCGACCGACGCTGACGTCGGCGACCCGAATCACTCCACGCGCTACCTGCGTGCCTCCTTCGCTGCTGTCAGCTTGCTCGTCGACGCTGCCTTCGTTGCGCAACAGTCGGGTAGAGGCGGACGCTCCCTCTGCTTCGGCTCGGGGAAGGTGATCGTGCGCCCACTGCGCACGAGTGCCTAGGAGGACCACCTCAAAAGGGGCCTCGTCGAACTTGCCTGCCGTGTGGCGTCGCCGAACATCAGCCACTCGTGCCTCCAATATTTTTTCCACCTCTCCGGGTTCCACCGGGGTAGGCAGCATGGTCTGCACGAGATGCTGGCCTAACAACAACTTAGGTAAGTGCAAATGTCGGCTATTGTCTGAAGGAAATATGCGGGGCCGTCCACGATCACCGCACCATGCGGAGATTCACTCTACATCGGTGGAAGCTAGATTATGGGAAGGCACGGGTGGTACAATGGATCATAGCATTCCTTGTTTTCTCTAGCACGTGTGCAATGACACGGAAAAGCGGCAAGAGTTTCAAGAGAAAAATTGAGAACAAAGATAGGAATATAAAGCAAGAACTACTACATCAGATGTAAAGCAACCTAGCAGACAGGCATGTAGAGTGTCAGCACTGCAAAGTCGACGACCTGCCAGCACTGCAAGTCGATACTTCGCCAACGCTGCAGAAAAGCAATTTGCTTCTTTTTGTGCTCCAGTCTTTGCTCCCAACACAAGGCAATCATGGCTCTGTTATCGACATACAGGACCAAAAGAGAACGAGGTCGCTCACCCAAGTGCCAGTAAGCAAGCCAGCGTAACTCCTGTGCAGCCATGGCCCCCGCGTAGATCTCAACCTCACAACTGGAGCTGAGAACAGAAGACGAGCGGGTGGACCTCCAGGAGACAGAACCAGAGCCAAGACTGAAAGTGTAACCAAGTGACGA